GGCAAAAAATGCATACATTTTATAGATTATTGTCAGTAATTAACATGAAGATAGTTCATTTAGAACCTATAATCAAGTTCAGATTTAGATTTCTTCAAGAGGCATATATTTAAATGGAAGTAAAATATTAAGATAGGCCAAATTCCCAATTTTCAAGGAGAGAAAACCAATAGAAAGCACCTAAAATGTGAACCAAAATCTATTACTCAAAAAGCAAGCATTTCCAATTCAAAAGCTGTAGGCGGTTGCATAAGTTCTAATCTAACAGCTGCCAGCAGGTAAACTACTCAATATTTCAAAGCATAAATATAGTAGCTCCATAATACATGCACCACTAACAAATAAAGATAACTATTCACAAACAGAAAATAGTAGTACAAAATCAATCATGTCGACTTTTATAATGCTAACTGAACCAGTAACTGACCTGAAGTGGACTCGAAAGTGACATTTTCAGGTTAAAAGATTGACATAGACTGTACGGCACCGCCACAGATGCTATTCTGGTTTTGCAACTTGCTTGCTCCTGAAAACTACTTATGGATCCTCTCAGGCTAGCAACCTGAGATTAAACAAACAAGTAAAATAATTACTGAAAACCATATCTGATCTTTTTTGGTCTTAATGGACATAAAAAGCCACAAAGATCATACAAAAGCAAACACAGAAGTAATGCAACATCATAGCATACCGCATCTAGATCTACTTGTGCAACCACAACCTCCACATCTTTTAATGAAAATTGTGAGCCTTGAGCAATCATATCTCCATTTACAACAACACAAGAACATCCATCTGCAAAGAGTAAATTTGTACCTCAGTATAGTAGGAAAAAAACGTCTACACATGCACTCTAATAAAAAATATAGACTGCTATTCACACGCAGATGTTGATGAATGGAGAATTAGAGCACTTTAAATTATTTCAATAAGCCAAAACAAAAAAAAGCAACGATAAAAAACATGTCTAGCCTATCAAGAGCATGTTATGCACCAAAATAGAGGCGGCCACCATCGCATCCTTGTTGATTACTGTACATGTAAACCCCTCCACGAGATTGAGTAGCACTTATAAAAGAACGAATGCGATAATCAAGCTTTCTTAATTGGTGGTGACTTCCACTGGCGTTCATAAACACTTCAACTCCATTCAATGCAAGGTCAGCATGAGGGGGAACAGGAGTAAAAAGCTCTTCACAAACTTCTACAGCAACAGCTCTAACAAGGAAAAAATACAAGAAGTTGGCATCCAAGTCATCATCTAAAAGATAGTACCGCATAAACAAAAAGTAGAACCATTAAGCTGATGCTTACGTGTCTAAAAACTGAAGGAACCCATAACCAAAAGGCACCGATTTCTGAGACAAAGCCTCAGAAATTTCATTTGGGAGCTGGAAGTCCACCAGCTGGTCTTTTTGCTTCCATGCCGTAAACCATCGAAGTTCCCGGTAATTTCCATCATTTGCAAGCCACAATTTGGGGCGGATCATGATAATTTTCCTATTCAAACACATAACTTGACAATTATAACGCTCTGATCCTTTAATCACAGGCATTCCTATGCTGCATAGTATTCCATCTGTCCAATCACCTACCAGTATTTCTTTCAAACACTCCCATCTGCAAGAAAACAACTTCAATCATCATGAAATTTAAAAACAATGATTAATGATATTTCAAGAATTTACTTGAATGGATTAAAATACACTAGTTAATTTTCATTTCCCCAAAATGCAAGCATATCGAACTTCCAAACATAGCAGAAAGAACTAACTCATAGACTAGAAAATACACAATGAAAATCAGATTAACTCCTAAACCAACTATACTCAATCAACATCATTACATTTACACCAAAAAAAAAAAAAAAAAAAAAAAGAAAAAAGGAAAAGAAATTTCAAGAATATGCTAAAATGATCTAAATGCATTCATTCAAAAATGTAAATAATAAACCGAGTGATAATCAATTGCCTAAGTTTCAATAAAGAATGTAAAAAATACGCGTGATTGACGGTATCTAATTCCAAGAAGTGGTCTTCGCAGCCATAACCAGTGATTTCAAGCTCAGGACCGAGCCTAATCACAGCTCCAGATTGTTTAGCCCTAGCAATGGACTCCTTTATGTTCTTCAAATTACGTCGAAGTCCATGGCCCACTGGTTCAAGTTACAGGTCGCAACCTTTAGCAGCCTCATCTTCAAATCCTACCAGAACAAAATTTTCAAGTTTTGGCATGTTATATTTCAGAGACACAGACGAACCTAAACTTTTGGAAACGAAAACATAAAAACACAGAAGAAGAAGAAGAAAAGCAATTTTATTATTCTACTTTTGTGCGTGGTGGCTGCAACTACAGGGAAGAGCACGACTTTCTGTGGCCGCCTTTGGTATTTCGGCGTTTTTTTATGCGGAATCTCTCGCATAACAATTAATGTCTTAAAAGCCACACTAGCTGATTTTTTTGTCAGAATAGAAAATAAAAAAATGAAGGGGAACTAGATAAATATTTATTAATTCGTCTAATTATAAATCTACCCCAAAAAAAATAAGCAAAGTGACTGACTCTTTTGTTCTTACAAAAATACACCAAAAATGGAATCGGATTCCTCTGCGGAAGAGGACACAGTTTCAAAATCCTAACGCCATATCCTTTCTTTTACTCATACTTCCTCTCTTAACAAATATCAAATGTCTCTTGACTTCTCCATAAGAAACAACTTCGCTTCACTCAAGCAATATAAATCACAAAAATAAAAATAGTAAATAGACACATACTTGGTTAACAGCAGAGAGCGATAATGTCGAACGGTGATGGCGTCCGTGGTTGGGGCAGGAATGTGTTTTCACAGTTAATCGTGACGGTGTTCTGGCGATTCGTATGGATTCTTGCGAGTTTAATGTTCTTGTTCTCTGTCTCTCGGATTTGGTTGGCTATGAGAAAGTTAAAAATGGCAGAGAAGACCAAGGTGCGTGAACGTGATGTTTGTAGAAAGATTTTGGGATTCCACTTGTTTTTAACTACTTTTTTTTTTTTGCGTTGAACGTGGCTGAGGCGCCAGGGCCAGGATCCTTGGACGGGTTAGGATCCTTGGACGGGTTAGAGTAGATAACATTTTCGTCCCTGAGGTTTGAAGGAAGTACTACACTAGTGCAGTAAAATCCGGAAAAGTCATTTTTAGTCCCTGTCAAACTTGTGCCGTTAGATAATTTTAGAATGTGTTATTGCTTTTGAAAACAAATGTCTATTGTACCCCCCATTTCTATTATTAGGAAGAATAAAAAAAAAAATATCTAAGACTATAGAGATTAATACAATATAATAATGACTAAAATAAAAATAAAATTAACAGAATTTGTAAAAAAATAAAAACATTATCACAAGTAAAACAAAAAATTTAAAATAAAAATCTCTACCTTAAAAAAGAATCCTATATCTTATTGAGCATCAAGAAAATAAAGATGAAAAAAGAAACCAGCAAATCAGTCAAATCCAAAACCCAAAACTTCAAAACAATAATTCAACCCTAAGCCACCACCAACAAAGGCTAGTCAAGGCCTACGACGATGGGATGAGTGGGCTGGTCAGGTTGGGCTTGTGGGTGGAATCGGTCGGTAAGGGTGAGTGTGTAGTCGTGCAGATAGTGGGGTGTGCGAGGGGTCATTTATTGTTTCTCTCTTTTTATTAATTGAAAATGTTTCTTGTTTTATATTATTATTCTTAAAATGTTTGTATGGACAACTTTACCCTTACAACGTTAATTCTTCCTAACGCTGCAATCTGACACTGACAGGGACTATATTGACATTTTTGGATTTCATTGGACCTAGGTTACTTCAAACCTCACAGATAAAAATGTCATTTATCGACAGGTCAAGTTAAGATGACTTTTGAGTTGACACGTTGAAGTGTAAAACAAGTTAGAATGTTTAAAACCACCGTTCGATGACTCAACTCTTGGAGGTATTACTCAAGAGGTCTTGAATTTGATTGGGGTAATCACTGAAATGATTTATTCGATTGTTAATTTCAAGACTTCGAATGATTAATTGAAGTACACGCAAACTAACTGGATATCCTTGATTTTATATATACACACACACCACAGCATGATAGGAAGGGGTCAAGACAGTCTATTTGTGTCGATTAATTGTTTTTTTAAAACTTCAATAAACAAACCCGGACCTGTTAAGATAACATAACAATTAACTACTTATTTTCAGATCTCATATAAACTGCATAGAGAATACGTTTTGAGAATTCTATGCTATCAGTCGGGAACTCTTCGTCAGTATAATGTCCGATTCGTATTGCATCATCTTTTACTTGTTCATTCCCGTTTGCAGTTTCTGCGTGCAAACCAAAATGAACTATATATCAGTAATTAATCTCATAATGTATATACATATTCAACTCTTAATTTTGTCCTTGATCCAGATATTAACAGTATATGTTTGACGCCTCAAAATTGACCTTTTTACAAGAAGTTGGCGCCTGCAGCCAACTATAGCAGCCACAGAGGAGCCATCTGCTCCACTGAAAGAGGAAGAAAAAATCCGGATGCTCCACTTCTTCTTCAGTAGTTCCATAGCCAGCAACTAGGCCCAAAGGCTATTTCCTCCTCAAGACAATTACCATAATAGACATCATAAATTCTAAGTTAACCCACTCTATTATATAATTTTTTAAACCTTTATTTCTTCCATGAATCCTAAATTTAAGTTACCATAATCATTGAAATTGTTTGTTTAATGGAAAATACTTCCATTTTCTAGATTTCGTACTACTTAAAATTGATGTTTTGATTCTAAAATTGAATTGGAGAAATGGGTGTAAAAAATAATGTAATTAAGATTTGAAGGGTATTTTGGGTATTAATTGGGGTTTACTGTTTAGATAGAAGTTTTTAAATATGAAGTAACGTGTTAATCGTCAAATAGGTCCGGTTCAAAAACACTACCCAATGGCTAAACCCATTAAAAAAACGGCGCCGTTTACTTGTCTTAAGTTCGCTATCTCTCCATACTCCCAATTTGCTCTCAGAACAAGAGCCCTTTCACAAACTCCTTTTCCTTGTTGTCTGTTATACTACTGGCGGGCCCGATGACCGAAGTGGCAAGCTCAGTGGTGCACGAGGTTCTCGGCCGGAGAGCCCTGGACGTGGACCAGCCGATTATTGACTACATCGTCAACGTCCTTGCGGATGAGGACTTCGATTTCGGTGAGGATGGCGAGGGCGCTTTCGATGCCATCGGCGAGCTCCTCGTTGGCGCGGAATGTGTCACCGACTTCAATGAGTGCCGCTTGGTCAGCTTAATTTTATCCTTTATAATTTGGATTTGTTGTGAAGATTTTGATGATCAATCATTAATTGTTGATTTTTGCTCTAGGTTTGTAGTAAACTGACTGAGAAGTTTGGGAAGCATGGGTTAGTGAAACCGAAACCAACTGTGCGGAGCCTTACGGCGCCTTTAAGAATGAATGATGGAATGGATGAGGAGGTTCCGAAGAAGAAGCCTGAGGTGATAGACGGTCCAGTTTTGACTGAACGTGACAAAGCCAAGTTAGAAAGGAAAAAGAGGAAAGACGAACGCCAGAGAGAGGTGAACGTTGATATTAATATTTGATCTATTGTATTCAAGTTCTGGGGGCAAATTTAAAATATAATTCAACTTTTTTAACAAAAACAGTAAACATATTTATACTCATCAATCTATATTATTTCATTTAATTTATTGACATTTTTTTTTTTCTTTTTGACATTTTTTCATAAGAGAACATGATATGATAGTCAAGTATTTTATATGAAATTTTAGCATTAAATAAAAGTTAATGAGTTGAGCTTTGAGTGAATTGTAGTTAGGGATGTGGGAAATTTTGGTCACAAAGAGGAAAAAAGAAATTTGGGATTTGGGGTGTTTTGATCAACAAAGGGAAAATGCGAAAGGGGAGGATTGAAGCATTGAGTTTTGGACAAGTGGATGGAATAATTATCATATTCTAAACTAAAATAGAGCTATATTTGTAATAATCAATTAAGAATTTTCCAAAGTCCAGAAGGGTCAATTGACCCTCTTGGACTCTACTTTGCTCTGTCAATGCATCCAATATAGTAGTACGTATCCTATAGACATTTAATTATTTTTTTCCATTTTGTTATTGAGGAATTGTGATTACATTTAATGATGTTCAGAGGAAATGTATACTTTGATTGTTATAATTGTTATTGAATTATTCTGTGCAGGCCCAATACCAAATTCATCTGGCTGAAATGGAAGCGGTTAGAGCAGGGATGCCTGTGGCATGTGTGAATCATGAGAGGGCTGGTGGGCCGGCTGTGAAGGATATACATATGGAGAACTTTAATGTTTCTGTGGGCGGACGTGATCTTATTGTGGATGGTTCAGTTACTCTTTCTTTTGGAAGGCATTATGGTTTGTTCCTTTCCATTTCACATGGCCCTGTTTGTAGAAGATAAAAGTAAAAATACACAAATGCTTATAGTTGTTTTTACAATTGGGATAATAATTTGATGGTTGATTGTTAACCATAATACTACTTTTTGATTTATGTGCAGGTCTTGTTGGAAGAAATGGTACAGGAAAAACAACTTTTCTCAGGCACATGGCTATGCATGCTATTGATGGTATTCCTCCAAACTGCCAGATATTACATGTTGAGCAAGAAGTGGTAGGGGATGATACATCTGCCTTGCAGTGTGTTCTTAACACTGATATTGAAAGAACTCAGCTTTTGGAAGAAGAAGCAAGTTTGCTTGCTCAACAGGTGGAATTTATGCTATTCTACTGCAGAGAAAAGTCTTTTTATCAGTTCTTGGCCTCTTAGCTTTTTTGTTTTTTTTTGTTTTTTTTAATTGTCTGTGGTGTAGTTATATTCCTTTTCAAGTGGTCTTACTGATAAGTTTAACGATTGTTTTTCAGAGAGAATTGGACTTTGAGGATGCAACTGAAAAGATAAATGGTTCAATGGACAAAGATGCTATTGCTCAAAGGCTTGCGGAAATATACAAGAGACTTGATGCCATTGATGCTGATTCGTCAGAAGCACGTGCAGCTACCATTCTTGCTGTAAGTTTACAAATCTTTTGCCACTCAATAATAGTGGTATTACTCGAACAAGCTTTGGCTCTACAAGAAAATTATGTTAACTGTTGGTTGTGGATCATGATAAAGTAAAACGTAGTTGTTTGGATAATGGACATTGAAAATAATGGAAAAATGGACCATGTCTAGTGGGAATTAGGCGAGGACTTTGAGGAAGGTGGGGATGTTCTGTCCTTAATTTGAGTGTAAATGACTCAAATTCTGAAATTGCCATCATTGATCTTAAACTTTCTTGATCCTAATTGTTATTTTATTCTCCCTGTGACCAAAAGATTCTCCATAATTCGGTGGCCAGACCTTGTTGTTGAAGTACAATTGGTTGGCTGTGAAGTTTTGAGTAAAATTTTGATTGAATGGCCATGCAAAACATCATGATCATGCATGTGGTGCTGCACCATGGTTATGATTGTTGTCTTGCTCTTTTTTTTTTTTTTTTTTTTTTTTCTAACTTTATCTCACTAGCCGAGAACATTTGCAGGGCCTCAGTTTCTCTCCAGAAATGCAAAGGAAGGCCACAAAGACATTTTCTGGAGGGTGGCGAATGCGAATTGCTTTGGCTCGTGCTTTGTTTATAGAGCCTGATTTGTTGCTACTTGATGAACCTACGGTGTGTTACATATTATATCCTCTTCGGTACACATATTTTCCTTACAGTGTAGATAAACTGTTGTATATTATTTATTTATTTGCAGAATCATCTTGATCTTCATGCTGTTCTATGGCTGGAATCATACCTGGTGAAATGGCCAAAAACGTTTATTGTTGTTTCTCATGCTAGAGAATTTTTGAACACGGTAATACTGATGAACTGTGTGTTTTTTCTGATTCAGGGAGCTAATTATTCTTGAGTAGTATACTTATCTTTGTCGTGCTTGCTGATTTATTGTTATTTTCAGGTGGTCACAGATATTCTTCATCTACATGGACAAAAACTGAATTCTTACAAAGGGAATTATGATACATTTGAGAGGACACGTGAGGAACAGATGAAGAACCAACAGAAGGCATTTGAGGCGAATGAACGATCAAGATCCCATATGCAGGTTTTCTTCATTGAACCAATATTTTATCTTTGATGATGTATGTTTTGATTAGATTTAAGTTAATCTTGTTGGTTTGTCTGTATAACTTATTTTATTATTTGTTATATGCCTTTTCACATTGGTTTGGGCCTGTAGGATAGTTCGGATATTGAGATGCAATTTGTCTGTAATTATTGTTTAACCCAGTGCTCTTAAATATCGTTCTGGATTCCATTTTGTTTCATCTGATTCTTTACATGAGGTCTTTTTGTGCTCACTGTTAACGTGCAAGATGCTTGCTGATGTGCAATCCATTTGAACATTTTCATTTAGTGTTCTGTAACCAGACCTGATTATCTGTCAAAAAACTGTCTGAACACTGTTATGCTACCCTCTTAGCGTTTGTTTTCATTTTCTTAGTTATTCTTAGTGTGGTGGGTAAATATGTTTGAATTTATTGCACATCATCCAAGTACTGGAAAAGCCATGTACGATACCGGTTTAGTTTATCTCCTTTTTCTTATTTTCCAGATTATAATAATTGTATNGAGAACATTTGCAGGGCCTCAGTTTCTCTCCAGAAATGCAAAGGAAGGCCACAAAGACATTTTCTGGAGGGTGGCGAATGCGAATTGCTTTGGCTCGTGCTTTGTTTATAGAGCCTGATTTGTTGCTACTTGATGAACCGACGGTGTGTTACATATTATATCCTCTTCGGTACACATATTTTCCTTACAGTGTAGATAAACTGTTGTATATTATTTATTTATTTGCAGAATCATCTTGATCTTCATGCTGTTCTATGGCTGGAATCATACCTGGTGAAATGGCCAAAAACGTTTATTGTTGTTTCTCATGCTAGAGAATTTTTGAACACGGTAATACTGATGAACTGTGTGTTTTTTCTGATTCAGGGAGCTAATTATTCTTGAGTAGTATACTTATCTTTGTCGTGCTTGCTGATTTATTGTTATTTTCAGGTGGTCACAGATATTCTTCATCTACATGGACAAAAACTGAATTCTTACAAAGGGAATTATGATACATTTGAGAGGACACGTGAGGAACAGATGAAGAACCAACAGAAGGCATTTGAGGCGAATGAACGATCAAGATCCCATATGCAGGTTTTCTTCATTGAACCAATATTTTATCTTTGATGATGTATGTTTTGATTAGATTTAAGTTAATCTTGTTGGTTTGTCTGTATAACTTATTTTATTATTTGTTATATGCCTTTTCACATTGGTTTGGGCCTGTAGGATAGTTCGGATATTGAGATGCAATTTGTCTGTAATTATTGTTTAACCCAGTGCTCTTAAATATCGTTCTGGATTCCATTTTGTTTCATCTGATTCTTTACATGAGGTCTTTTTGTGCTCACTGTTAACGTGCAAGATGCTTGCTGATGTGCAATCCATTTGAACATTTTCATTTAGTGTTCTGTAACCAGACCTGATTATCTGTCAAAAAACTGTCTGAACACTGTTATGCTACCCTCTTAGCGTTTGTTTTCATTTTCTTAGTTATTCTTAGTGTGGTGGGTAAATATGTTTGAATTTATTGCACATCATCCAAGTACTGGAAAAGCCATGTACGATACCGGTTTAGTTTATCTCCTTTTTCTTATTTTCCAGATTATAATAATTGTATCTGACATGCAAATGTTCTTCCTTACCCTGTAGGCATTTATTGATAAGTTCCGCTACAATGCGAAGAGAGCATCTCTTGTTCAGTCAAGAATCAAGGTGCATATTGTCATCATGCCAAATGACTTGAGTTCATGATAACCTCTACTTAATTCCTGGGCCATCTATTTGCATGATATGTTATGCTTATGGTTACCTTTGACTTTGTCAGGCATTGGACCGGATGGGTTATGTAGATGAAGTTGTTAATGACCCTGAGTAATCTTCTCCTTTAACACTTGATGTGTGCCTGAACATTTAAAATTTAGAGATTGAATAATTCTTGTCTTGTATTTCCTCTTTTAGAATTACTTAGCTACCTTCTTTTGTGTACTACAGCTACAAGTTTGAATTTCCAACTCCAGATGATAGGCCTGGGCCGCCTATAATAAGTTTCAGGTTTGGCTTTGCAGCTCTTTCAGAGAAATTTTGAATTTCTATGTTTTATAATGGTACCCCTTTTTCATATCGAAAAAGAAAAGAAAAAAGAATGGGACCCTTTTATTCTAGTGTGTTCCAATGAAATGCCATCTTTGCATTTGTTTTCCAAAAACTGCAAGTAGTACGAGATCTGTGCTTTGTGACATCATTTCTTTTGAACTTGTGGCATCTGCCTATAAGTTATTGCAATTTTCTTCAAAGAGTACAGAATGTGAATTATAACTTACATCCAAAGCTCATTGGATAATATTGAGTTTTCTTGGATTTGATTGCAGCGATGCGTCATTTGGTTACCCTGGTGGCCCAATATTGTTTAAGAATTTGAATTTTGGGATTGATCTTGACAGCCGCATAGCAAGTAAGGATGCTTCTCTCCTAGCTGTCTTTTTTTTTTTTTTGTAACATTAGTTGCTCATCATAAATAACTGCTTTTGTTTCTCATCCATTAACATTTGTATATACAACCACATTGTGTTATGAAAATCAATGCAGTTGCTCATTTTTTTTTTGTATTTTTGAGGGAAGATATACCTGCCATTCCAAGGTGGTCTTGATTATGACATACTAGCCATGATATGGTAGTTATTTTTATCTGGGTCTTCATTTTATTCTGCAGTGGTTGGGCCAAACGGCATTGGCAAATCAACTATACTCAAACTAATTGCTGGCGAGCTACAGCCAAGCTCTGGAACAGTTTTCCGTTCAGCTAAGGTATTTTCTTGTTTTCTTCACATTCTCATAATAGAAAACAAATTTTAAAAACGATAATTCTGTGTAGTACATCTAGAATTTTTGCTTGATTGTATTTCCATGATAACTACCCCCTTTTGTGAACTGGGGATAAGATTTCCTTGACATGTTTCTAAATTTTGAAAAAGAAAATTCTGTGTAGTACATCTAGAATTTTTGCTTGATTGTATTTCCATGACAATTACCCGCTTTCCTGTGAACTGGGAATTTCTTTTAAATGTCACTGCTTTGCTGACACAGTTCGGCGTTAAAGATCTGTCTTAATATCGTGCAAAATTTGGGCTGGATATATATTCTTTAGTCTAATGGAGATTAATATTGTTCTGTGAACAGGTTCGCATAGCTGTTTTCAGTCAGCACCATGTTGATGGGCTTGACCTATCTTCAAATCCCCTCTTGTATATGATGCGCTGCTTCCCTGTAAGTTGCATCTTTCCATCTGTGATAGACTTGGCTGTTAAGGAACAAATGACAACTGAGCTCTAAATCTTGTTGCGCATATCTATGCGGTTATTATGCTTTATCAATCTTTACACTTAGGGTAAATTATTACTTTGGGCCTGAGCCCATCTAACAAGCCTGTCTCATGAATTCCCTATTTTAGGGGTTCTGGGTGGGATCAGGTTAGACACTCCTATAGTGCTTAAAAGGCTTTGTGGCAGACATCTTGTTGCTGTTATTGCGCAATTTAGAATATCCATTCCTCAATGAACATTGTGTGACCATATCCTTATATCTCTTGCAGGGAGTGCCTGAGCAGAAGCTTCGAGCTCACTTGGGTTCTTTTGGTGTAACTGGAAATTTAGCGCTTCAACCTATGTACACTTTGTCTGGTATTCTTCCTTTCTTATATTCATATGTCCTTATACTATAGAGTTTGTTTTTAAATTGACTTCTGGAACCGGAGTTCGGTTTGATCTCAATAGAGTTTACACGAGTTGGGTTTATGGTTTGCCATGACAAGAATGCAAATCATGTGTTATCTAATTGCTGCTTGCTATATTAGGTGGTCAGAAAAGTAGAGTTGCATTTGCAAAGATTACGTTCAAGAAGCCACACATAATATTACTTGATGAGCCATCCAATCATCTTGTAAGTTGTTATCCTTTCATTTGTTTCTCTTTTTGTAATTTGGCAATGTAAGATGTGGAGAAAGTTGGATATTAAGACTTGATTTCATGTTAACAAGGGGAAAGGGGACCGAAATTGTTTTGAAGATAGAATTTTGATATTATTTGAACTGTATTCTTCTCTTATGTGGGAAAAGAAAATTTAAATGCCCGCTTGGTTAAAAAATATTAAATGTATAAATTGTTTAGCACCTTGTTGCATTAAATATTATGTTACACCTCATGGGAGATAATACATAGTATTCTACTTTCATCGGGTCAGTTTTGTATTGAAGCAACATGAGCCTCAGTAAGAAATTGTAAAATATCACCTAACTTTTGCCATTTGATTTGACAAATCAATGGTTTTTCAAATGTAGGATTTGGATGCTGTGGAGGCGCTAATTCAAGGACTTGTTTTGTTCCAAGGAGGAATTCTCATGGTATTGTGCTTGTTCCCTTGATGATTACAATCAGGAAACATCTTTTGAAACTAAAAATGATTGATTGGGAGCATAAGACTTATCATATTTTAATATTTAATCTTTGTTTCATATATACTTGCAGGTTAGTCACGATGAGCATTTGATATCTGGAAGTGTAGAAGACCTATGGGTGGTATCAGAAGGTAGGGTGGCACCATTCCACGGGACGTTCCTGGATTACAAGAAGATACTTCAGTCCAAATAGAAATAGATACTGGAATTACATTTACATATTTTTGTTTTGGAGGATATCATAGGTTTAGTGCGAGAGTTCTCATTACTATATGAAATTGTTTTTGTTTTTGTCTTCTTAGTTATAATTCATATATGTTAAAAAGTCTTGGTGCGCGTGTTTCCCTATTTTTCTCTTATTATTTTTAAAATACACATTTGTTTTCCTATTTTGAAAATACTATTATATTTTATTCAATTAATTTTAAGTCTTCTAAGTTTGTTGATTTAACTAAACACCTTTAAAAAAAAGCTTAGAAATTAACGAAAACACCCTTTTCCATCCACATTTGTCAGATTCTGGCTATCACCGTCAGAAGGTAGCTGGAATATAATATAATGGCGTATTATTAGTTGGATCTGGTTGGTAGCGTGTCTATCTAGCTTTTTTCGGTCAGATCCACTGGAAAAGGCTGTTGACAGTCAGATCTTTGGTCGTAGTTAGTTGTCAATGACGGTAATAACTTTGGTCATCGATGACCAAACGTGGTTAGATTTAGCCGTCAATGGCCAGATCTAGTTGGATTCATGGTAGATTTGGTTGGAAAAAGCCATCTTGACGTACGATCAGTCAGAGCTTCAGTCGGTTGTGCGTTGATATAGTGACTCCGGTCACCCTTCGACAGTGGTAGCCGGTTGTAGATATTTAATGGTGGGTGGGAGAGTTTTTGTAATTTTTAATGTTTTTATTACAGGGGTATTTAGTAAATTAATAAACTTAGAGAGATATTTTTGTTAATTTTTAAAACCTATATTATCCAACTTTTACTTTTAAAAAAAATAATATCTAAAATATTAAAATAAGCGCACCCTTCCTTTTTTAGGAACGAGGAGGGGGCTTTTTGCAACAAGTTTATAGATGTTATAAATCCTTCTTTTCTGAGGAATGAGTAAAAAATATCTGCTTGCTTTTGCAAAGTGCATTGGAATCAAACAATAAGGATCTTTTATTTTCGGATGGAAATATCAAAGGGCTTGGATCATTGATTGTGGAATGTAATTCGGAAAGAGGAAAAAAATCCGAGAAACATCTTTAAAATAAAAAACAAAAATGCGCATCCAGGGAATCGAACCCTGGTCAGTACCGTGGGAGGGTACTATGATACCACTACACCAGATGCGCTCCACGTGAAAACGTTTTGGCAAAAATATAAAGGACGTGTTTAATTTGCTGAATTTGACCAGAACAGACTGTAAATAATTTCATAAAATAAAAGAAAGGAAAATGAAATGATTGTCAAAATATCACATTAATTAATAATTAAATGAAGCTGATTAAATTAATTGTGTAATTTTAAAAATAACAGGAAAGAAAGTGTAAGAATTGTTGTGAACTTATGATGTTATTGCTTATTTGACAGGCGGACGGAACGGAAGGAGTATTCCAAAAATAAATAATTAAAGCCGGAGAGACAAAAATCTTTTTCTCTTTACAAAAAGCAGTCCTATTTATTTATTTATTTGACAATTGAGTCCCTCCTCTTTTCTTTTCCTTCAATTTCGCTGTAATTGAATCTTCTACGATTGCAAATCCCTAATCGAATTCGTGAATTGTGATGGAAGAAAACAATCCAAACAACGGCATCATATCTCGCGAGAGTCTCAACAGCGTGGCCAACTGGGTCAGCGCCACCGTCGTCTCCGCCTTTTTCGCCTCCCTGGAGCGTTGCTCTTGCGTCAACCTCACTACCACCGACCCCGACGACGATGAGGAGGAAGAAGCCAAGGACCGTCCCCTCACCCTCACCTCCAACTCTTACTCTGCCGATCACATGGTTTAGCTCCCATCATCTTCCTCGGTATCTCATTCTTATTGACGTTTTTATTTCTTTACCTTCAAAAACATGGCCTCGTTATGTCAATTGATATTAATCAATATGTAATGACNTTAAATTGTTTTTGTTTTTGTCTTCTTAGTTATAATTCATATGTGTTAAAAAGTCTTTCAGTGAGCTTGTTTCCCTATTTTTCCCCGTTTCTATTCCTATTATTTCTAAAATGCTCCTATTTTGAAAATACTATTATATTTTATTCAATTATTTTTAAGCCTTCTAAGTTTATTAATTTAACTAAACACCTCCTAAAAAAAGTTTAAGAATTGACAAAAATACTTCCACTCATTCACATTTGCCAGATTTTGGTCATCATTGTTGGAAGGTGGTTAGAATTTGGTATAATGGCGTATAACCGGTTGCATCTAGACGGTAATGTGTCGATCTAGCATTTTTCGGTCAGATCTATCGGAAAAGGTCAAATTTACAATCAAAGATCTAGCCATTGACAGTCAGATTTTTAGTCGTATCCTGTCATCAACAACGGCAATATCTTTGGTTATCGTTGACTATCAAATGTGATCAGATCTAGTCGTCAATGGTTAGATCTAATCGTAGATTTGATTTCTTTCAGTCGGATCTATGGTAGATTTGGCTGGAAAAGGTCATCTCGATGCACGATCGACCAGATCTCCAGTCGGTTGTGCCCTGATACGGTGACTCCAGTCACTTTTCGACAATGGTAGCCGATTATAGGTATTTAATGGTGGGTGAGGGAGTTTTTGTAATTTTTAATGTTTTTATTACAGGGGTATCTAGTAAATTAATAAACTTAGAGAGGTATTTTTGTTAATTTTCAAATTCTATACCACCCAACTTTTACTTTTTAAAAAAATAATATCTAAAATACTAAAATAAACGCACCCTTCCTGTTTTTAGGAACGGGGAGGGGCTTTTTGCAACAAGCTTATAAATGTTATAAATCCTTCTTTTATGAGGAATGAGGAAAAAATATCTGCTTGCTTTTGCAAAGTGTATTGGAATCAAACAATAAGGATCTTTTATTTTCGGATGGAAATAGGATCATTGATTGTGGAATGTAATTCGGAAAGAGGCAAAAAGCCGAGAAACATCTTTAAAATAAAAAACAAAAATGCGCATCCAGGGAATCGAACCCTGGTCAGTACCGTGGGAGGGTACTATGATACCACTACACCAGATGCGCTCGACGTGAAAGCCTTTTAGTTATGAAGGAGGTGTTTAATTTGCTGAATTTGACCAGAACAGACCGTAAATAATTTCATAAAATAAAAGAAAGGAAAATGAAATGATTGTCAAAATATCACATTAATTAATAATTAAATGAAGCTGATTAAATTAATTGAGTAATTTTAAAAATAACAGGAAAGAAAGTGTAAGAATTGTTGTGAACTTATGATGTTACTGCTTATTTGACAGGCGGACGGAACGGAAGGAGTATTCCAAAAATAAATAATTAAAGCTGGAGAGACAAAAATCTTTTTCTCTTTACAAAAAGCAGTCCTATTTATTTATTTATTTGACAATTGAGTCCCTCCTCTTCTCTTTTCCTTCAATTTCGCTGTAATTGAATCTTCTACGATTGCAAATCCCTAATCGAATTCGTGAATTGTGATGGAAGAAAACAATCCAAACAACGGCATCATATCTCGCGAGAGTCTCAACAGCGTGGCCAACTGGGTCAGCGCCACCGTCGTCTCCGCCTTTTTCGCCTCCCTGGAGCGTTGCTCTTGCGTCAACCTCACTACCACCGACCCCGACGACGACGAGGAGGAAGAAGCCAAGGACCGGCCCCTCACCCTCACCTCCAACTCTTACTCTGCCGATCACATGGTTTAGCTCCCATCATCTTCCTCGGTATCTCATTCTTATTGACGTTTTTATTTCTTTACCTTCAAAAACATGGCCTCGTTATGTCAATTGATATTAATCAATATGTAATGACGATGTTATAATTTCTGTTGTTCATTTGTCTGTTTGTTTGTGAACGGAATTCTGAATGTTGGTTTGCTGTATTTTCTGTGCGAATTGTCTTTTTAAAATCGTGTTTATCTTAGTTTCTATCTAATTCGATTCAATAGCCTGCCCGAATCAGCATTGATATACCAGGATTCTAATATTGATTCTTCATTTGGTTCTTTTGAGTTAAGATAATGAATGGAAGCCGAATTTGTTTTAGAAGAAATAGCTGATCCTCTGTCAATTTAATGTTTTCATTAATTGGTTTATGTGGATGTCATGGGGATACAATTTTTTTATTCAGTTATTCGGTGTCTCTATTGTCGAATTTGCTGTGAGAGCAATTCTGCAAATTCAATGTTGTCGTCTCTTGTTCATTGGCTGAGACTCAATTCTCTTCTTAAATGATTTGGTTGTTGATTGCTTATTTAAATTGTTTAAAGAATCTGCCTTAGGTATACTAATGTAATGTATATTATAGGAAATTGGATAGATTTATCTACTTAGTGTGATGCATAAAAATGTCAAGTTTTGATGAGGAAAATGTTTAGATTATTTTTCCATTCTTGTAGCTAGAAGATCTTCCGGGTACCACTCTAAGCTCATTGTTGGTTGGCCACAATTGGAACCGTATTCCTTAGATTTGGTGTAGATTTTAGCCCACCTGGGTATAGTAATGACCAAGAGGCTTTATGAGGAATGCCATTTATAATACTTGGACGATTGGTTACTTTGAGCGCCCTTATTCTACTGCAACTTTTGATTGTAAATTTGGTTAAAAAGCAAGTTTTTCCTGTTTTTGTGAATAAATCTTATTGTGATACTTCAGGAAATTGGCTATTAGCCTGGGTGCAGTTTTCCAAGTAAAATTTGTCTTCTAGTGTCCTTTACTTGGTCTTTATAATATTTTGAGGTCATGTTCTTGGCTTGCATGCACTTAATATTTGACTAAAACTGAAGGTCTTATATCATTAACCATTATTACCATAAGGAAAAGTAGGCTCTAGTCAGGCTGATGGGCCTCTATTCCTTACCCATGATGTGTTTCTGGAAAAAGCTGTAACTTATGAACACTTCTAGGATGACAAGTTGGCTCTAAACTTGATAAACACTTTTGGGGCATAGACCAGAGGGGTCTCAACTTAAGCTGTTTGTGTTGATTTTTATTCTTTTCCCTCTAATCCTCCTATAAGGTGTGCATGTTATGTGTTGAAATCAATAAATACGTAGAACACAACCATGCTTCCAGCTCTTTTTCTTTAATCCCGTATATTATTGCATTTAAAGGAAGTGTGGATAATGGAACAATAGTTGTTTAGGATATGCTGCTGTTTGTAAGGAGCATTGTGAAGCTTGCAATCCTGTCTAGCAAGGATATAGATCAGTTGACAAAATAGATAATAAAAGAGGCTTGTAGTTTGTATTTCCTTGTTCTAAAAAATTCACAGCAAGTGCATTACCTTTGAGTTTATCTTCCTTTCTCTCTCTTATCTCTCTCTCATTTTATTCATCCTTCAGTACCCTCCTTCCTATAAATACAAGACTACAAGAGTTATTCTACAGAGCACCATAGCATGAATGTTTTGACATTACCGGGCAGTATTAATCTCCATCCTGCCTCCAACAAAGAAGCATGAATACGCAACGACGGATAATGTAAAACCTTGCTTTCTTTTCCTTCAAAGATCCTTTCTTTGGTACCGAAACTCTTTTCTGCTTTGGCTGGGAAGTAGGCATCTCAATGACCTTAACTCCCTCCTGTGTTTTTCTTCTGCCGCTACACCTTGTAACTTTTGAGATGAGAAGAAATGTTTTCTCTTATGGAATCTTTTGTAGGAGTTACTAGTGTTTATTTCAGTGTTTTTTGTCTTCAGTAAATAAATGGTGAGGCCTAAAGACTTGACCGTGCTGTTGTTGGCAGTCAAACCAAGAAACTGGTTTTCTGCTTCCAAAAGCTGTCTTCTGCTACAGCGATTTAATATCCGGACTTCCAGGTTAATTGTCCATTGACCGACCAAATTTGTGTTCTGCTTCCAGGATTTATTGCCCAAAAGACAAATGGACCACTTAGCCCTATTCACCATTTCAATAATAAAACTTTTGATGCATATATAACTCCTCTTTTACTAAAAACAATTAATAATAGTTGTAACTGAAACACAGATTACATCATTCTTCTTTTTGTTGTTTTTGATTTTGCAAGCATGAGAATATAAATGTCTGTATCTTGCCTCAAGAAAAGAGAAAAATCCATCCATGTCATGGCTCAGGCCTCTATCCTGCTGTGAATAGTGTAGCATGTTTTCTGATTTCAGGTAATTTTGGTCGGTCAAACTTGGTTTCCAATGCAACCATAAGCTGAATGGCTTATGAATTTTCATTATTCTGTATAGTATTTTATGAGTAGTAATGTTATGGATAGAAAGTTAGGATCTTGTGACTTCTTGTAGCTTAAAACTAAGTTGCCATGGAAACCTTGGTACCGTGAACCTGATTACATCCATCTTAAATAGTATTGATCTTGTGGCTCTTGTTGGCTGTCCTTGTTTTTTTTTTTCTTTTTTTAAGGTAAACCTGATAATTGTCTCTTAATAAATTTGATCTCCAAGTATAACTAACGCTAGTAATTAAAAGGTTTGTCATCAGGCGTTGTTGCTGAATCAAATATTTGGTTGAGCTTTGAATATTATCATTATTATATTAGAAGTAAGGGGCTTTCTCCGTTGTTTCTTAAAGTATTTTCGCTAGTGCAATCTTAATCCTGACAAAACATTATCCATATAATAATGTGGATCCTGCCAAGATGATAAATTTTCTTCCAACGGCCAGGATCTTTCTGCTCTGAGTTCAAAACCCTAGCTATATATAAATAAAACGCCTTTCTCTGTTATATTAAACCCTTCATGATTTGGGGCTTTTATCAGCCCCGGAAATCCCATGAATTGATTACATGGGTAGATCTGGCGTTTGAGTAAACAATTGTTCTTTCTTTCTCAAAGAATTTAAGATGAAACATTTGCTCCTGTGATGAACAGTATATCATATCGTTCCAATTTCTGAAGCTCTATCAATTGGAGCTTTTACACATGTGGAACTGAAGAGACTCTGAGGAGCATTCACCCTGTATTTTTTCCCTCTTTTTTTTCCCTTCTTTTTTAGATTCTATTGTTAAATTTTAAGCACAACAGTGAAATTATAAATCAAGCAATTAACACCGTTTTTAAAACTCTTGAAAAGATCCCACCTGACAAATCGTTTAAGAGTAGTTGAATGCACTCCATAAAAGCATGTGGTTTTTAGGGTACTTGAATGCAGCGCCGCTGCAGATGATCTGATACTGCAAAAGCGAAACCATCGTTTAGCTTGAAGAAGATTGAGCTTGGTGCTCGGCAGTCGGCAGAACTCGGTTAATCCTCATTTCTAAACGGTCCAAAAAGTTTAGGCTCCTTTTGTACATAGTTTGAAAATACTATTCTGGTTTCAATAAAGTTAAACAGCAAATTGGTTTTGATGTCTTATTCTAAAAATATTATTCAATTTCTTTTAAATCTCTTAAATTTGTTAAGTTAACTAAATACTCCTAATCTTTTTTTAAATTGATAAAAACACTCCAATAATCTATATTTATCAGATTTTAACCACCATCATTGAAAACTGATCGGAATCTGGTATAATAGCACATTATTAGCTGGATCTAGTCGATAGTACGTCGATTAGCCTTTTTATGGATCTAGTTGAAAAATATCAGATCTTTGACTGTAGTCAGTCGTCAATAAGAGTCAAGATATGATCGTCGTTGATGACTAAATACGACCAGATTTGGCCATCAATGGCCAAATTTGGTCGTAGATTTGGCCTTTTTTTGTCAGATCTACCGTGACATATCGGTGTACGACTGATCAGATTCAGTCGGTCATGCGCTAATACGATAATTCTGACTACCCTCCAACGGTGGTGGTCAACTGTCGGTATTTAATAGGTGAGTGATGTGTTTTTGTTAATTTTTAATATTTTATTATGAGGGTATTTAGTAAATAAATAAATATAAAAAAATGTTTTTGTTAATTTTTAAATCTATATCTGGTACTCACTTAATTTTTTTTTTTTTTTAAATATTATTCTAAAAGGTATGATAATCATGAACCAAACGAACTTAAATCTGATATCAATTCGTCAAAATAAGACAATCCCACCATTTAAAAATTGCACAAATCGATGCCATTGCAAGTAATATATATTAATTGCACATTACAAGTAGTTTTCAAGCCAGGGCTCGTGTTAGTGTGCGCCCAATGCAATCGTAAATGTGCATCACCAATAATTTAATGAAAAATGTTATCCTTATAAAGACTTATATAAAGAGGGTTATAAAGTGACATTATCCAAAAGAAAAAAACAAAGAAAAAACAGAAAAAGAGAAAGAGAGAGAGAGAGATAAATCATGAAAATCAAGTGTAGAAATTGTCTTTGTATGCCCTCTTTGTATGTATCTTTGTAAAACTCAATGTTTTAAAACCTGGCCAGCCTGGCCAGTTCAATTGGGACCCGGCTGGTGAGCGAGGCCGGGTGAGCCTAAAAACTGGTGTTTTTGTTCTGTCCGCTGGCGCCCGCGGTTGGATCGGTGTACTGTAGCACCCACTAGTCCAACCGTCCATTTTAAAAAATCCGGGTCAACATTTATAATATAAAATAATTAAATTTAATAATAAACACTTAAACAGCAAACCCTAATATCATTTCCTTTCCCTCATTTCCCCTCCATTTTCACGCGTTTCCCACCCATTTTCACACGTTTCCCACCCTTTGCTTTGAAAGTCTGAACTCTGAAGCTTCACTCTCATTGAACTCTGAAAATTACCACCGGAGTCTTCCCTTCACCATCGAAACTCATCACTGCAGCCTTCACCGTCAACGGCTTGCTTCGTCATCAGCTGGGGTACCTCTCATTTCGCGATCTTCTCTGGCGTCCACTCTTCATCACCGCCAATCTACGTCGTAATCCATCATCTTCGTTCTTGATTCTTCTCAGAGCTACACAATGCACAGTCGATCTCGATCTCGGAGCTGCACACACTCTTCTTCACATTGCTTGAATCTGACTTAGCTCTTTATAGTTGCCTTGTTCACAGCCAAGCTCCACCTCCCCGACGAGCAACAAACGGTAGCTCATCTTCACCAGCAGGTAACTGTCACGGTGTAGGCACGTCTTTGTTTCAGCCTTCAGGTCTTGTGCATGAGATGTCTTAGTTTGCAATGTAGTAGGCTTCCATGCTTTACAATTTACAGATTGAAGTTTGAAGTTTGAACTTTGATTCTTTGAAGGGAGAACTAATGAGTAATGACAAAGTAGCACTCTTCTCTGCCAACCTAAAAACTTATAAATTCGTAATTAATTTAGAATGTGCATTGAGATTAAAGATTGATGAAGAGAGAATGTGCATGATCAGGGCATTAGGCCTGAACCAAAATGGGAAGCCTTCGTAGTTTGTGGCTTAGTAAACTCTGAAGTCTGAACCGAAATGGGAACACCAAGACATTATATTTAATTTTTGTTTTGTAAAAGTTATTGAATTCATTCAAACCTATAGGATTTAACTTGATTGGTGAACCAGTTTTGAATTGTTGGTAATTTTTACTGTAATACTATGATTATGTATTATAGAAGTATGCAAAATTTGAGCAGTTTTTGTTTCAGCATTAATTTATTAAAGATCAGAAAAGAATTAATGGTTAGTGAAGATCTTCTAAACATTGAGAAAGTGGTCAACAACATGTAAAAGTGAAGGATAATAGTATAATACAATGTAGGCAGAACTTATGCATGTATTGTCCCTTCCACTTTTTTTAGAGATTTAGGAGTTCATTATGGAATTATTTGTTTGAATACATGTAATTCTGTAAAAAAATTGTGGACAAGTGGTATAAAGTTTTCTAATACACTGTTTTTTCGGATACATGTAATTGCTAACTTATTTTTTATTTGTGTTGCCACTTGCCAGGGTAGAGATCAAGATTAAAGACAAAGAATATGTCATCATCTGGGTCTTGTCAACAATCTACTTCCATGGATGTTTCACAAACTTTTCGAGGAAGAAATGATATAGCATGGGCACATGTTAATGAGGGCGTGGATGAAAATGGGAAGAAAATATTAACATGTCTTTACTGTGGTAAGATACTCAGAGGTGGAGGAATCTATCGAGTTAAATTGCATCTAACGGGTATAAAGAGAGAAGTTGGAAAGTGCCCTAAAGTTCCTTTTGATGTTAAATTCAAGATTAGAGAAGCACTAAATGAAATTGGGGCCAAGAATAAACAAAAAGTTGAACTTCGTAAGAATGTCAATCCTTATGGAGCTAGTGTACAACAATTTGAGGGTGATATGTTAGATAAAGATCAAGAGTGTGAAGAGGTTTCTCCATGTCCAGCTCCAGCTCCAACTTCAATTGCAAGCAGTAAAAGAAAAAAATCTATTGGGATAGGTGACTATTTTGCTCCGAGGACTAAGGCTGGGTGTCAGCCCTCAATTAGGAGTGTTTTAGCCGGAAAAGAAGCTAAGTGGAGAGCAGACATGACTGTTGCAAGGTTATTTTATGATTCTTGCATCCCAACTAATGTTATTAATTCAATTTATTTTCAACCTATGGTGGATGCTATAGCTGCAATTAGTCCTGGGTATAAAATCCTAACTTACCATAATTTGCATGTGAATTTATCGAGAGATGCTAAGAAAGAAGTGCAATTACTTGTTGATAGTTACAAGAAAACTTGGGAGGATGTTGGATGTACTTTAATGGCTGATGGTTGGACAGATAATTCACATAGGTCACTGATTAATTTTTTAGTGTACTGTCCTAAAGGACCGTGTTTTGTGAAATTAATGGATGCTTCAGATGTTGTAAAGGATGCTGCAACATTGTTTGACTTGTTTGAGGAAATAGCTTTATGGGTTGGACCAAACAATATTGTCCATCTTGTCACTGACAATGGAGCAAACTATAAAGCTACTGGAAGAATGTTGTCTGAAAAATATAGCAGTATTACATGGTCTCCTTGTGCAGCACATTGCATTAATTTGATGTTGAAAGAGATGGCTGAGATGAGTCACATAGTCAACCTTTCGACACGTGCATCTGAGGTTACAAAGTTTGTGTATAATCATTCCTTTGTGATGGCTTTACTGAGGAAAAAACAAGTTATATACCTTTACTTCATATGTTTATAATTTACATTGTCAAGATATATTATATATGTACACTTTTTAAAAATTTACCAAGTACTAACATTTATTGTCTATCACTTGAATAGGGTTGGATAGAAATTATACGCCCAGGTGCAACTCGTTTTGCCACAACTTTCATTGCATTGAGTAGCTGTTAGGACCCTACTGTTCCCTTAAATCTCTCCTGCTGTTCCACCTGCAAAAAACTTATATACAGTACAATATCCAACAACAGATCCACGGTCACAACACACAACACACTCACTCAATCAAGCAATGAATATTCTCAATAATTGTATTAATAATCAAGGGTTCAGTACAACTTTCTCAAGAGTATCAAAACGTAAAAGAAAAGATGAATGGAGAATAACAAGACTGATTTTCTAGAACAGACGAAGAACACAAAGAACCATAATCTGCTGGCTTCGAGGGCCAGTACCTCCCCAGTCCCAATTTCCCCCTTTTCTCTGATACCCCACAAAAATCCCCTGTCACCCTTTTTACGCCCAACTTCATTCTAACAGAATTATTCCCATTCCAATCCAAGGATGCCACCTGGATGCCACCTGTCCTTCCAAGGATGCCACTTGCCCCCTGCTTGTTCAGTAGAAAGTACCATTTTATCCCTTCTGTCCACACTTTTTCCTTCTGCTAAAAACATGCACCAGCGGGGTCTCATCATTACCCTCCCCAAGGAGAGCCACCTTGTCCCCAAGGTAGAAGAAAGGAAATTGGTTGTCAATAGAGGTGAAATCCTCCCATGTGTTCTCATATATGGGTAAGCCCTTCCATTTTATTAAGACTTCCAAAGTACCATTCAACAGTTTGCGCTTACGTAGAACCTCTTCAGGTTCGACTTGCAATACCAAATCCTCGTCAAGTGTTGCGGGAAAGGGTTGTGCAGTGGGCGGCGGGTACTTAGTTTTCTTGAGTTGTGACACATGGAAAACATCATGGATGCGTGCCGAAGGGGGTAGATCCAAACGATAGGCCACTGATCCAATCTTTTCTGTAACTTCAAAAGGCCCATAGAAGCGGGGGCTGAGTTTCTCATTGTACCGACGAGCCAAAGAACGAAGGCGGTAGGGTTGCAACTTAAGGTAAATCGAATCTCCCACTTCTAACTGAACTTCTCGTCTCTTTGCATCGGCATAGTGTTTCATTCGGGTTTGGGCTTTGAGGAGATTATCCTGTAGCTCAGCAAGGATAATATTGCGAGTTTGCAGTTGACAGTTCACTTCGTCAACTGGTGAACCATGATCCGAAAATTTAAGAAGAATGGGAGGATCACGCCCATAAAGTGCTTTAAAAGGGGTCATACCTGTGGAGCCATTGAAAGTCGTATTGAACCAGAACTCGGCCCAAGAGATCCATTTAGGCCATTGGCGAGGCTGGCTACTCACAAAACAACGAAGGTACATTTCAACACATCGATTGACCACTTCCGATTGGCCATCAGTTTGAGGGTGGTATGCCGAGCTCATACGAAGCTACGTGCCCGAGTGTTTAAACAACTCCTTCCAAAAATGACTGATGAAAACTTGGTCGCGATCAGATACAATGGAGCGGGGAAACCCATATAGCCGGACAATCTCCTTGATAAAAAGGTGGGCAACATCCGTGGCCATGTAGGGATGCTTAAGGGTCAAGAAGTGGCTATACTTAGTTAATCGGTCAACCACGACTAGGATGGTATCGGCACTATTTGTTTTGGGAAGCCCGATGATGAAATCCATAGATATGTCTTCCCAAACCTGCTCAGGAATGGATAGAGGCTGCAATAACCCCGCAGGACTCAAGGCCTGGTATTTATTTTGTTGACAAACTGCACAGGAATCGACAAACTCCTTCATATCTCGTTTCATGCCCTCCCAGTAAACCACACTGCTGAGTCGTTTAAAAGTGCAAAAGAAACCCGAATGACCCCCAACAGGAGATGAGTGGAACTCATGTAGAAGAAGTGGAATGTGGGCCCCTTTCCTTGGTACAACTAGGTGGCCATTACACAAGAGATGGTGGCCAACTAACGTGAATGGTGGGTGGCCATTGGGATCCAACAACAATTTTTGAACAATTCCATTCAATTTGTCATCTTGTTGAATAGCATCCTCTAATTCTTCCATACCTGCAAAATAACTGAGAGACAACCCATCAAATTCCACCTGTTCACCTCTTCTAGACAATGCATCAGCTACCCGATTCTCTGCCCCTGGTTTATATTGGATAATAAAATTCAACCCAATCAGTTTAGCAACCCATTTCTGTTGATCTTCACCTAGTAACCGCTGATCCGTTAGAAAATGGAGGCTCCTTTGGTCTATCCTAATAATGAAACGACACCCTAATAAATAATGTCGCCACTTCTGAACTGCCATCACAATAGCCATTAATTCCCGCTCATATACTGATTTAAGCTTCGATTGAGATGATAAGCCTTTGGTCAAGAAAGCCAACGGTCTACCCTCCTGCATCAGGACAGCCCCTAACCCACTCCCTGAGGCATCAGTTTCAATGATAAATTCCTTAGTAAAGTCTGGCAAAGCTAACACCAGAACTGAAGTCATTATCCTCTTAAGCTCATCGAAGGCCTTTTGGGCTTCCGAATTCGATTGACATGCATCTTTCTTAAGTAAACTGGTGAGAGGAATGGCGATTTTCCCGTAATCCTTGACGAACCTTCGGTAGTAACCGGTCAAACCCAGAAATCCTCGTAAGGCCCTGATATCCTTGGGACTTGGCCACTATAAAACACTGTCAATTTTGGAAGGATCAACCGCCACCCCACATGCTGAAATGACGTGCCCCAAATATTCTAATTCTCGCTGACCGAAGAAACACTTCTTCCTATTGGCAACCAAGTGGTGTTCTTCAAGGGTGCTGAGGGTGATCTCTAAGTGCCGGATGTGATCCTCTTTAGTGTGGCTGTAAACCAATATGTCATCAAAGAATACCAAAATGAACCGACGTAGAAAAGGCCGAAATATTTCATTCATCAAGGCTTGGAAGGTGGCTGGGGCATTCGTCAACCCAAAGGGCATGACTAAGAACTCATAATGTCCTTCATGTGTCCTAAAAGCCGTTTTGTGGGTATCCCCTTCCTTTACTCGAATCTGGTGGTAGCCCGACTTCAAATCTAATTTGGAAAAAAATGGAAGCTCCTCCTAATTCATCAAACAATTCGCCAACCACTGGGATGGGGAACTTATTCGGAACCGTGATCTTATTAAGAGCCCTGTAATCCACACAAAATCGTCAACCGCCATCTTTCTTTTTCACCAATAACACTGGGCTGGAAAAGGGGCTAAGGCTGGGCTTAATGATACCGGCAGCTAACATCTCACTCACTAGTTTTTCTATCTCATTTTTCTAGTAGTAGGGATAGCGGTAGGGTCTAATATTTGGGGTTTGGGAGCCGGGGAGGAGGTTAATGGAGTGGTCTTGGGTCCCTGGTGGCGGTAATCCTGGAAGTGAAGAGAAGACTGATTGATACCGAACCAGAACTGGTAGAATGCCGCTATCCTCTTCAACTTGTGATTCACCTAGCTTCTGCAAATTACCAAATTCCACAAAACACCCATGTCCCTCGCGTTGAATTGTCCGCATCATAGCTTTTAAGGAAATCAGAGTTTTGCTCAGAGAAGGGTCACCCATAAATTTCACAATTCTGTCTCCTAGTCTGAACTTCATTACCTGTGTTTTCCAATCCACCGTTGTTTCCCCCAAAGTTTCCAACCATGCCACACCCAAAACCACATCTGCACTGTTCATCTCAAATGGGAAAAAATTATGTATAATCGGAGTCCCCTGAATGTCCAACTGCACCTCCCTACATTCTCCCTCACATCGCACCCGATATCCATCTCCCACATGTACCCTGAAAGTTTGCGTCTGTGTCACTGGTAATCCCAACTTCTCAGTCACATCCTTGCTGATAAAATTATGCGATGCTCCACTGTCGATCAACACTATCACTTCAGCGCCATTGATTTTTCCCTTTACCTTCATGGTTTTCGGACTTGAGATTCACACGACTGAACTAATTGAAAGCTCCGCATCATTTGGTAGTTGCTCCTCCATGGTCTCAATCAGATCTACCCCAACGTCATTTGGCTCATCTTGACTCTCGTCCTCATCAATCAACACGACGTGGAACTGCTTGTCTCCACATCGGTGGCCTGGAAATTTTTTTGCTTTACATCGAAAACAAATCCCACGCGCCTTTTTCCTCTGGATCTCAAGTTCTGTCATCTGTTTGAAGGGAAATTCTTTTTTGAAAACTGAGCTGCTCGGTTGCTGCTGGACAGAGTTGCTGCTGCTACGTTGACTAGCATTTAGAGAAAAATGGCTGGTTCTCTCGCTCCATTGGTGGCCTGATTGGGAAGGAAAATTTTGATGTTGGCTAGAGTTTAAATTCGCGCTACCTGAAGGAACTAATGGATTAGAATTTTGTGCAAGCTTTGACCCATTTTCTTGCTGCCAAAAACTTTTACCCGGTCCACCACTATAGGCCCAATTTATCCTACTAATTCCACTGCCCATAACAGACTTAACACTCTTATTTAGCCCATGTTTTAATTCTTCCAAGGCCTTATTTTTTTCTTGTATCTTCTGAGCCAGTTCAATTAGCTGAATAATGGAAGTGGGCTGGCCCAATCTAACCTCAGCTTTTAATTCGGGTTTTAGCCCATTTAGAAACGTAGCCCAAAGTAAATCTTCCTTCTCATCCTTCAATGGAGCTGACAGGGCTTCAAACTTGCGGCGGTAGTCCTCCACTGTTCCGGTCTGTCGGATTCCCATCAACACCTCATACGGACCACCATCTTGGGATCCTCCGAACGGCTGAAGCAGAGACAGTTTAAACGCTGCCCAAGTCGTGACTGGAGCGTGGATTTCCATCCACTGGAACCAATTTATGGCGTCTCCCTCCAAACACACAGCCACCGTGTTCAGGTACTCCTTTTCTGCCACTTGATACACGTTGAAGTACCTCTCTATCCGGAACA